GTAGGTTTACAGCACCTTCACTAGTCACTTGCTCCTTTGCTTTCAAGAATTCAACATTATGCCTTGCCTGCACATCAAAGAAGCTCGCAACATTAAGGAAAAAAATATTTTTATTAAAATTATACCATGTTCGCGAGCGCCTAACTCCCGGAAGAGAAACCAAGCACGGGTCCGTGAACACCATAGCAGGGGCATCAAGATTAATTTCCCTTTGAAGATTTTTTCCAAGCCTTGTCACCGGAATGAAGCTCTTAATTTGATGGCGCTTTTTGACAAATGCTATGTGTGCACCATCTTCCTTGGTTACAAATTTATTGATAATATCATCCGGCCCAATTTCATGCACACTAACAACTTTTCGCCCTTCCCAGTCAAAAACACTTTCACCAATGACCTCTCGGTTGTCCAGAATAGTCGCGGAGGCAGTAGGTACCAAGGCCAGAGTGTTATTCCCAGTGGCAGTGTGCTTGGCCGCAACTATAGGAGGAGCTTGTGCTGGATGTGGTCTCGGTCCAGTAGCTTTGACAGGTTCTAGCCTCGGTCCAGTAGCTTTGACAGGTTCTAGCCTAGGCCCAGTAGCTTTGACAGGTTCTAGCCTCGGTCCAGTAGCTTTGGATGAAGAAGCACCACTATTTGCAGCAGGCTCTTTTGTCACATAGGCCGCTTTCTTTTTGTTACGGTTTACCATCACAAACGGAGCTTCACCATCGTCTTCTAAATCCGGAGGTGGGATGGCAGCACCCTTTCCCTTGTCTATAGCCGTAGGCACCACCCTATTTTTTTCTTTAGGAGGATTGAGTATCAAACAAGAGAAGGGGTGGTGCCCAAATCTTTTACAATGAAAGCAGTACTCCGGATAGGTCTCATAAATAACCTGTTGCATGTATTCCCTACCCGAAGGCGGAATGATAGGAAATTGCATGACCGGGGCCTTTGAGACATCAACTTCAATAAGTACACGTGCAAAATGAGTATAGACCGTATCTTGAGTGACCTTATCAGTAGTGATTGGAATTCCCACTTGAGATGCTATCATGCCAATTTCTTTCGCCTTCCAAAGTCTCATAGATAATTTGGGGAATTTCACCCAAATTGGTTGCTTTAGAAACTCTTCACTATCGGTAGAGAAGTCTTCAGATAGTTCCTTAAGATACATGGTCTTCCCGTATAGGACGTAAGGTCCTTCGGCCAGTACATGCATTCGGTCCTCTTCAGTTTTAAATTTGAAAATTACCCAACCTTTGCTATGTGATTTGATATCCACCTCCACTTTCCATTTGGCAGCCATATCGTGGATAGCTTTGAGCCCCGGGAACCTCCCTGAAAAATAGCCAACTAAGCAAAACCCCCATATTTCAATAAGAGTTGGCACTTTAAGATGTGAAAAGTCAAGTTTTTCCCCGGTGGGAGGGAAATACTCAAGTTTTAGACCACTGGAGGGTGCACGGTTGTCTCGGAATAGGGAGCTCCATTTTTTGCTTTGAATATTCTCTTTACGTTGTTGCTCAAATGTCTTTATAGGTAGAGTATCCTGTGACCCAAGAGTTATGGACCCCTCGGTTTCTTCAATGATCTCCACCTCATGTTCATCAGTTGTTTCAATTATGGGAGCATCCTCATAGTGCACTGGTTTCAAGGCAAGAGATAGTTCATTTGATGGTGCAGCCTTAGAAGATGCAGATCCCGTACCCATTAGAGCTTCAGCGAAGCTAGCCACTCCAGAAGACTGTGATGCCGCGACACAAGCATTATGTCCCAGAGTTGAGTCCGCTGCATTTGTAGACAGTCCCCCAGCATCAGATAATGTCGCAGCATTTGCACCCAGTCCACTGGTTTCAATTGGGTCCGCGGCCTTAGGAGATGAAGCCGCATCCTCAGCAGTCAACCCGGTGGCAGGAGTGACCTCATTGGTGGAGTCAGTGACCTCCGTGGAATTTGCAGAAAAAACGGGGGCCTCAGTTGGTAAAACCTCCTTAAACACCCCTTTTGTTATCAATTTTTCAGCTTGGATGGCAGCCTTGGCAGCCTTCTTGTCATTCAGATATTTGATTTTATCCTCAAATTGCTTATCCTTTGCAGGTGGGGTCCTTTGTTGCTTATTCTTCTTCGTCATGTTGATTAAGATGGCGAACAAAAGATCCCAGAATCAGTCCAATAAAATCAGGGGTAATACCCCAAGTTTAGTGAATCAACCTGCATGGTTAGTCTGACGAAACTGGTGCCTGAAACTTCGCCTCAACAATATGAATCCCAAACAGGCTTTGGATCTGAGATTAATCTTCAGGTTGTGAAGAAATCAGCAAATCCTCAAACTGTGATGAATAGTACTCGTTTTTAGCAAATCCTTCGTATCTCGAGCTTCAGGACGAATTAGGAGATGAAATCAGGTCTGGGAGGTTCGCCAGAGGGTGGCGACCCCCAAACAATATTCCTTCTGCACAAACAATCGTCTAATTTGTAGGATAAATCAAATTTTAGAAAACTGCGAAGAACAGTTTATTCTGCGATTCCTAACTCAAAAATCCCTCGCTTGAGCTCTAAAATTCAATTTCTATGAAATCCAATCGGTAGATAAGATATAGAATTGAATTCAGAGGTAAGAGCAAGAAGAGATTCAGGGATTAAACATGAAATCAATGAGCAAAGTGAGCAAGAGTAGTTCGTGCGTTCCAGGTATTTCCGACCGTTTGGTGCGAGAAAAGCCAAGAGAGAAGCCAGAGCGTTCTCAACGCGAACTTTTTGCCTTGTGCTCTTCTTTGTTTACGGTGTGGGATTCTTATTACCCAATTCCCTTTCTTCGTTTGCTTTCCCCACCCAGCCAGCATTGGAATTGGAATGCCAATTATGATTTCATTGTGTCTTCCGTTTTGCACATAACCAACTCCACAAGCCCACCAAGTACTTGTACGTAGTACTAATTAATCACCCCACGTCTACTTTCACCCTAAATCAAATTACAACTATTATTCGTAATTAAATGTTTACGTATTTGATTGATTTTGGGGTTCTCTATATTCCAGATGCTTCACCACTCCCTAGTTTTAAATGCACTCCCTAACCAATCATCATCATCATTACCCTAGTGCCACAAAGGCTCGGCTCCCACCTACACTGGGGTAAGGGGGTCGAATGTACGCAGTTTTACCCCTGTACTAAAGCACAAAGGGACTGTTTCCGGATGACCCATGATGAAAGTCGCTTTGGAAATTGCATGAACTGACTGGTGTTTCATAACAAAGAAGTGCAGACAGTTTAGTAAGCCATTTGTCTTTCCATCATATATACTCACAAGTCAAAAAAAGTGAAAATTTGGCTCCATTGCAAATGATGGAAGTATCACATTTAAACCAATGAATAGCGAAAATATTCAACGATAAGTCATGGGCCACATCCGGTCAAAACATGGGTTCGCAGGCCCAAAATAGTTTATAGTAATTCAATTATCCGTGAGCAAGTGTTTAAAATTTTGGAAGCAATAAGGAAGCACGAACCACGTCTTCCTTGAGTTGACTTCACCCGTACGAAGGTGCAAGTAGCAAACCCTAGTTTCAACTTGAAAATGGTGCCCCCCCCCCCTCCGAAGGGATCAGTACGCGAAAACCGAGCGAGAAGCAAGATAAATGTAGAAGAACTAACGTTTCAAATATAACACCCAAACATAGGGTGATACATATACTTATATTCTTCCCTCAAGTCTTGAAATAGATATCAATGTATACACTTGGAAAATACCTGGTCCGTAGACCATTGTTTATCTGGGAAATGTTTGTAGTCAAGCCCTTGACCTAAAATCACAACCCACCCAATTACCTATGAGTGTATAGAATTACTAAACTGTAATCTATAAGTTTTCAGAACAGTCCAGTCCCTGGGTACTCCACCAATTTATTAACCGAGTTTTGAGGACAGCCCGTGGCTACTCCAACAATTTATTAAACGAGTTTTGAGCATAGTCCGGTCCCTGGTACTGCACCAATCTATTCATTCCTATGATCTACCGCATATCATACATAGAAAGAGTCTTTATCACAATCATTTATCAATACTAAACCAAGTCTTATAATCGAAGTACAACAATCCATGCCAATCATGCAATGAACCACCTATAGGCAAAAATAGCACCAAACTGCTGTCGATTCTCCCCTGACCGGAGCCTGTTCACATTTAAATTAATTAAATGGGTTACCCCGTACTCAAACTTACACGACAAATTATACCCTACGACCGGCGCGTGATGAGCATGGTGTGTCTGGTCCTGATACGACGTCGTTTCAATTAAAAGAAATAAGGAAGATCGACAATCTCTCGCCCCTGAATCACATCTACCGCCACCACCAAGAGTTTGCCGCCGCCCATGAGAAGCTAAGTGGCTCAGATCGAGAGACCCTCTGTCCATGGAGAGGAGGAGGTTGGATACTTTTGACACCGCCAGTGATCCGGCAGCTTACAACTACGCCGCCATAGCCATGTGCGAGGTTAATGAGAGGACCAATTTTGTTTACCCCTACTTGCTGCGAAAAATCTCAAGCTCATCGGAGCACACTCCTGCTTTAGAGTTTTTGAGCGGGAGTTACACTTTGGAGAATAATTCGATTTCCCATACTTAAAATTACTATGGCAACAATTTGCCAGCCAATAGGCTATAGCTGGATGATCAATTTTATGACTTCTTAGTGGATAGTCTTGGCTGTGTGAGTGTTTTGAGCGTTTGGATAAAAATTTTAGAAAGTTACATTTCACATACCCTGGAATTACATTTTGGTTTGGTTAAAGTTACATTTTATAACACGCGATTTACATTTCAACTTTTCTGAATAAGTTACATCTTGATTACACTTGATTTACATTTGACATATTGTGAGTTACGTCATAAAACAATGCGAGTTACACAATAAAATAAACCTCTATTATTCAATCGAAAATGATTTTATTATTAAAAATCATTTTTAATGGACCTAATATTAAAAACAAAACATATGCATTATTTATGTAAAATAATTGGACAATTAAACTCCTTTTTTTCATTAAACATGAGTTACATTTCAGAGCACAAGTTACATATGTTGTTAACTGAAGTTACATTTATAGCAACACGAGTTACATCTAATTATGCACAAGTTACATCATTCATGCTACTGAGATGAAAAAGAATAATGTTCACGCGTGTACTGTTCACGCGATTCTTTTTTTTTTTTTAAATTTGATCAAAACTACGTCATTTTGGGAGTGGGAGCATGATGCTCAAGGTAGGACGGTCGTATGGTATACGAACTGAACTTACACCGGTTATAGCCCAAACCGGTGGTGGTCCACTGTCTTCTCCACGGTCAATGGCCTGTTGACCGCCCGAACTGACTTCGATTGATCTGAAACAAATTTCAACATGTATTAAGTCTTAAACAATCAATAAACGTCATTTTGGCCCTATAAAACACCACATGTTTTATAAGACATTCTCATATCATTTTTCATGCATATCTTTATAGTTCAATTGGACGCGATTTTCATTATGGGTCATCCGGAAACAGTCTCTTTGTGCTTTAGTACAAGGGTAAGACTGCGTACATCCGACCCCCCTTACTCCACCGTAGGTGGGAGCCTTTGCTGCACTGGGTAAATGATGATTGATATATATATATATATATATATATATAGGAAAAACTTCCGATAAGGTATACCTTACCGGAGCCGCCGTTCGGCCTCCACTTTTTGAGGGCCTTCCCGGTGGAATTTTTCGATGATTTTTTTTGAGCATGTTCTACATCAAGTGTAGTACATCCATACCAAATGTCAGCAAAAAATTCAATCGGGAAGGAAGTCAAACGATTTTTGGAAGATAACTGCGTTTTATATGTATATAAAGGGTGCAGTTATCTTCCAAAAATCATTTGACTGCCTTCCCGATTGAATGTTTTGCTGAAATTTGGTATGGATGTACTAGACTTGATGAAGAACATGCTCAAAAAAATTCATCGCAAAATTCCACCGGGAAAACCCTCAAAACGTGGAGGCTAATCACTTTGGCTAATCACATGCTTAAACTCTTTTAAACATCAATATGAACACATATAACATTTACTTAGGTAATCTCATACTTAACCTAAGAGTTATAAGACATTAATCCGTCCACTCACCTTGAATGAGCTTTAAGAAGTTTTACCCTTCTCGGTTGAATTCCGGCGATCTTTGTTGAACTCCGACGACAACTCCGACGACTTTTTGAACTTCGTGAAAGCACTAGGAACACCGTAGACAAGTTCCTAACAAGGTTTTAACATCCCAAAATCCATATTAATACAAATAACCTTAAAAGGGTTATTGTCCGGTGAACCGGTCACTTTTGCTTCTAAGTCCGTTCTTGGATTTAGAACCACTATTCAACCCCTCATTCTACACTTCTAATGATGTAGAATAATCCTACGGGTCCTATACATGACTTACTTAGTCATGAACTTCAAATGAGGAAAGAAAATATTACGACGAAGCCATTACCTTAATCCACAAGGTTTTTCCCTACTTTTACAACTCTTTCTTCTTCCTTGAGTCTCTTGTTTGCTTGAGCTTGCCTTGACCGTGGAAGAATGATGCTTGCAGGCCTCTTCCTCTCTCTTGGGTGTGCTTGGTTGAAGTAATGATAGGGGGAAGCGTGATAGAGACCCCTTTTGTCTCAATAGCAATTGGGTTAGGGGAGGTCCACCTTCGGTTAATTCTTATCAAACCATCACTCTCAAACATCTCCCTATGTCTTCCTGTCACACCAGCCATCCCGTTGTTTCAATTGAGCTCACAAAAATCTGGGATGGCCCTCACTCATGTTGGAGGTCATCCCAATGTGTCCCGAAGTGTACATTTGGCCCCAAAAGTTGTATTTCTCGAACTGTTTTAATTGTATTTTATTTTATCGTGTCAAATAAAATATGTCATCCTTCCAATTACCATGGGCGTCTAGAATGAATATATATTCCCCAACTTAAATTTAGAAGTCCCCATAATTTGTTATGGGCTGTTATCTGATAAATTACCAATGCTGGTAACTGGGACTCGTTTGATCAACCGGTCAACTCGGTGCCCTTTTTAATGACCCATCATGAATATACACCACCATATAAATATTATCTACACCCAGATGAATACAATATGTGGTCTTGGAAATATCGGGTGGTTCCCGCTCCCGGTGTGGCCCCACGTGTATTTTACTATTCACCAAAAAAAAAAGTTACAACCTCATAAATTCATTAATCATTCCTCAAGGTTAAATACACAATTTACTAAAAAGTAAATATACTTGGGGCGGTGTTACATTCAGCGTATCATTTCCAGCGTGGATGATTTTCAATTCGAGCTAATCATTGATGATATTAGAGATATTTCTTCTAGTTTTGCTTGTATTTCTTTCTCTTATGTGAAACGATCTACGAATCGAGTGGCTCATGATTTAGCAAGAGTTGCCGTTTCTATGACTGATCACTATGTTTGGCAGGTTTGTTTTCCTTCTTGTATTGAGCTTTCCGGTAACTATGATATGATTAATAATTATTGATATTCTCTTGAAAAAAGACTTGCACTAGTACAAAATTTAAACAATATTTTAATGCATGGGTTTTAATTTATTAACCTCGAATGTAATTGTATTTTTAATGTGTGGGTTGTCATGCATTTGAATTAGTAAATAATTATTGTTATATAAAAGAGCAATTACTGTTATATCAAGCGTTGACATATTAAAATTAAGTAAACATGACCCGGGTCTATGCTAACATTAAATGTAATTACTAAAATCCACGAGCTGTCCTAATTCGAATACTATGGAGATTGTCCATTCCATTAGAGATATGGATAGTATGACTCATAAAGGCGTTTGGGCTGATAAATTGGGGCTTGGCTAGCTCATTTAGATTTTGATTTTGGCTTGTTCTTGTATTCCCAATTGGGTAAAGTCTAGTCCCCCTAATTAGGTTCTTTTTGATTTATTTTTCTTTTTATGTATTTTGTGATTATGTACTTTCGAAAGGGTAAGCCCTTTCCGGGGAGGTTTTGGTTTGGTCCCCTCTTCTTCTGTACTTTTATTGATTTTAATAAAACACGGCAAATGTTTCCCGGCGTTTGCCCCACCATAAGGTGGTTTAACTACCGGGTTCAAAAAAAATAAAACTAACAGTCAGTATTGTGTTGCTATAAGTTAATAAACTATTCCGACGAGCAAGAAATATGTTGGTATTGGTCTATACCGACAGAATGTATACCAACCCTCTAATTTATGTCGGAATTGCATATATTTTCGCTGGTATAGCCAAATGAGGTCTATTCCAACGATTTATTTATCTATACCAACAATTTTGTTACTGTTGGTATATGGCATCTCTTTTTCGAAAGGAGAAGTAGGAGATTTTAGACTACTTAATTAGACATCAGGTGATTATAAGCATGCAAAACTGGAATAACAAGTTTTTATCAAAACTTGGGAGGAAGATTCTTCTTATAAAAAGTGTCATATAAACAATGTCCCCTTTTGTGCCATGAATGTACTTTTACTATGGACCTCTAGGAACACCAAGCGACGTAACACAATGAATGCAACAACATTACCCTCCAGTGAGGACGAGGGGCAAGACACACTTCTCTCACTACACAGAAGATCAGCGACACCACACGTCATCATTAAACCATTTTATATGTTTTAGGGATTCACTTATATATAGGTTAGCTTACATGTATACATGCATTTAATGCACCTAACATTTATAATAAGTATAAATGCCTAGGCCAGTTTGGGGTAGATGTTGCGGTTTAGAATTTACTAATATATCAAATATCTTTCTCTCAACTCTTTAGCTATGCCTTCTCTCTAGATATCAACGACACTATTTTGGTGAACAATCAATGAGATTTACATTTTTCGGAGTCAATGAACCATTTTTATCACAACTTACGTATTGTGATGGTTTCTAATTTTTTTAATATTTGGGTTCGGTCCATCCATCAAGTATACATATTATTTTTGAAAGGAAGTATACGAATTTATTATTATTAGTACTATTATTATTATTATTACTATTATTGTTTTATTACTATTATTGTTATTAGGGAAATTGTCCTAAATAGAGTTAAACATTCTGGAATTCCAAAATAAGAATGCAATATTTTTGTTTCCGAAGTAGGAGTTGTTACTGTCATGATTCAAAAATATTACCATTAATGACAGTAAATATTGTGATGTTACTCCTATTTTGGAAAGTATAACATAGCAGTCATATTTAGGAATTCTCAAATTTTTTTACTTCTATTTCAGGAACTTTCCCTTATTATTATCATGATTATTATTGTTATATTTTGGGCCGAGAATTTAAGACAGTAAGTATATGGCTTATTTGTCAGTTTTATGGACAAGTCCAGGGTTCTGAATAAATGGATAATGGGTTTGATACAAAGGTGTAGCGTTCAATCGCTCATATAACCTTCATTAAAAGTTAAGTTTATGATGCAATATTTTTGTTTATATACTATCCCTTATATTTGGTATGAAGTTGATATGATGCAATATTTTACAAAGTTTGGTAAAATTTCAATTCAGTAGTTTTAAATCATTCTTATTCCATTCTTACTTTATCAATTCAATATCATATCAATGATATAAAAACATTTTTCTTAACAACCGAGACATCTCATTATGTCCCAATGTTATTAGTGTATATCAAGAACGCATCTATATGAGGTTACCCAGTGGCGTATCCACTATGGGGGCAGCGGGGGCAGCTGCCCCCACTCAACCCCAACCCAACCCCTATATATATGTCCAAATTTTTACAAGAAATTGCTCAAATTAAGAGTTAAATGTAGAAAACAAAATCTAAAATAGGATTAGAAGTGTTTTCTTAAATATAAAAAGAATGAAAGGCTAAAAAATTCACTAAATTTTGTTATGTTTAAGACTGTTTAACTTATATTTAGGTAAATTTATTACATTTTATCTGCAATTACATCTTTACACATCCGTAATATAAATTAATTTTCTTTTTATTCATACTTGTACATAGATATTATAAACTAAATTTCATCAAACAATATTAATAATGTGATTTGTTATTTGTGAAATATGAGACTAAATTGTAGTCAAGTTTGCCTCACTCGCCAAATTTTCTGGATACGCCACTGAGGTCCTAACTGTTTAAACATTGGTGCAATATATGAAATTTAACAGAACAATAGAAACAACAAATTAAAACGTAACTTTTTATTGGGAGAACCAATACACAAACATCATAAGTAACCACGCCAATGTAATGTTCACCATCACATTTTATTTAAGAAACATTATTACAAATAAAAGTTGCATTAGACATGTACGCCATGTACGTTTATTCATAGATGGGGTATTGGGGTTGCAGCTGCAGTTTCCAACCTCTGCTCATTTCTATCCCCTGAAAGAAAGCAGCAAACAAATCAACAACTAACTTAATTAAAAAGTAACCCACACATTTTCTTCACTCAATAAGTAAGATTATTAGTCTTAAACGAAAGTTAAATATATTATCTAATATGGTGTGTATTTTTTAAATAGGGAAACAAAAAAACAAGAGGCAATTTGACATTTCCTTAAAAAACAGCTACAGAGTAGCTTTTGAGTGATTTTTTTTACATAAAACAGCTCCAAAGCTTAACTGGTGAGCCATATCACCCAAATGTGACCGCGTTTGGTGTTTTTAAAAATGGTTTAAGCCTTATTGTTCAATTCAAACACACTTGGGAGGCTCTAAATCTAGTCCAACTTTATCATAAATATTTTCCTAAATGCTTTGTTTAAAAGAAGTTGTATATACTCCTTTGTCTAAAATTCTCCCTGCGTCCCATAAAAGTTTGTCAAATTTAACAGACACGTAGAATAATAAAATAAAAATTGTGTGGTAGAGATCTATATGTGCAGAGGAGAGAATTGCATGATGATTATGATGATGATGATAGTAATTGAAACATTTGAAATATTTGTTCCAATAAAATCAAAATTTGAATGGAAGGGCATATTAAGAAATGAAAATAAAAGATTTACTCCTTATAATTAAAAAGTAGAAACCGTCACTTTTCGATTTGTCATTTTAGACTTAGTATGAAGGTATTGCTTCTGGTCAAATACATAAGCATAATGACAACATTTTTGATAATTCTCTTATTGGTATATATGGCTCAAGTTTTCTCTGGTGATTTGAAAGAATGGTTTATGTGCAGGTTATCCGGATGTGATGAATTATGAATATGCATATACATGGAATTGAAGCGCACCATTCCCGTCGAAGTTCATTTTGATTTTAGATGCATATACGTTCAAAATTACTTTTGAGGGGAGATCTTATAGTTGTTCAGATTTGGGTTTCTTTTATTGGGGTCTTGGGTTAGTATTGTAAATAGATGAGATGAGATATAACTATAGGTGCGGACCGTTTGGTCCACAATATTGTGCAACATTGCATATATTTCTATGTAATTTTAATCTTTATTTCAATGTATATTCAAAATCCTTTTCATTCGCATTATATTTTGTGCTATATGAACATGTACACACATCATGAAGTATGATAAAATATACGGAATATGATTAGTTCAAAACCTTTTTCTAGATTCACGCTTGCT